AAATTATCCGTCAGGTCCCCTGAGGTCTGTTTTTCTGTGGAAAAAATATCCTCAGGTCCCCTAAGGTCTGTTTTCTATAGAAAAATTATCCTTAGGTCCCCTGAGGTCTGTTTTTCTATAGAAAAGTGAGGATCGAATTTTTCAGGAACCATATATTGCTTGCAATTTGCTCTTGAAACATATTCACCCGCACAATATAAATATATACGCTATTTAAGCTGCCGATTTTCTTCTTCACCTCCATTGCACCTCCCCTGCTGTTACCCCGTAATCTCTTCACTACCGATTATATGGCATCGTTCGTTTGTTAGGGCTTTGAAGAAAGTAGGATATTCATACCCACAACTTATAGGAACATTTTTCCATCTTGCACTGCTAAAGGCTGGCGGTAATGGCGTACGACTACAAACCTGAAGGCGTTCGCCATTGGAACCCCAAAACCGATACTGCACCTCATTTTTCACCAAAAAAAATCACAAGAAAATAAAAACCAAAACAAAATGTTTGAAGCTTTCGTTCGTTCGTTTGTTGATCGTTAAAACTCACTATAACAAAACAAAAGAAAAAAAGAACTTAATACTCTCTTTTATATTTTGTTGTGATCTCTTTTTTCTCTTTCTCTCAAAAACAAAACCAACAAAAAAATAAATTTACAAAATATGCTCCACTTTTAACCCCCCTCTCTCAAAAAACCAAAAACCACAATTAACAACTAACCACAACTAGACATTGGCTCCAAGTAAAATAAATTAGAAACAAAGAATGAGAAGATGAAGAAGAACAAGTAATGCAAATCAAGGATGAAAAATTACAAAAACAAATAAAAATATAACCAAAAAACAAAATGTGCTTTAATTCGACAAAAATTCGATAATGAAATGGAAACCAAAGAAAATTTTTGATTTTAAAATCAAAACAAAAATTGTAAATTGTAATTTTTATCCCAAAATAAATAAAAAATATGTTCAATTAAATAAACATGTTCTAGGCTCTATAACTTTCTATATAAACAGGGTGTGCCAAAAAATATGTTCAAGCCGACTAAGGAGGCATGAATTTTTAAATAAAAAATATTTTCAATTCAAACAAGGTTTCCTGAGATCTATTTTTCTATAAAAAAAAGTCCTCAGGTTCCCTGAGGTCTGTTTTTCTATAGAAAAAGTATACGTCAGGTCCCATGAGGTCTGTTTTTCTATAGAAAAATTATCCGTCAGGTCCCCTGAGGTCTGTTTTTCTATAGAAAAATTATTCGTCAGGTCCCCTGAGGTATGTTTTTCTATAGAAAAAGTATCCGTCAGGTCCCCTGAGGTATGTTTTTCTATAGAAAAATTATCCGTCAGGTCCCCTGAGGTCTGTTTTTCTATAGAAAAATTATTCGTCAGGTCCCCTGAGGTATGTTTTTCTATAGAAAAAATATCCGTCAGGTCCCCTGAGGTATGTTTTTCTATAGAAAAATTATCCGTCAGGTACCCTGAGGTATGTTGTTCTATAGAAAAATTATCCGTCAGGTCCCCTGAGGTATGTTTTTCTATAGAAAAATTATCCGTCAGGTTCCCTGAGGTATGTTTTTCTATAGAAAAATTATCCGTCAGGTCCCCTGAGGTATGTTTTTCTATAGAAAAATTATCCTCAGGTTTCTATAGAAAAATATTTCTCAGGTCACCTGAGGTCTGTTTTTCTATAAAAAAAAGTCCGTCAGGTCCCCTGAGGTCTGTTTTTCTAGAGAAAAAAAATCCTCAGGTCTCCTGAGGTCTGTTTTTCTATTGAAAACGCCTCATTTCTTCTATAAATTTTTTTTTTGGCACACCCTGTCTATATGTCATTTTATATACAAAAAACCATTATATAGAACTTTAGTTAAATTCTTCTAACTCAATACCACTTAACTTTACAGTATTTAATTTTATTTATTATTAAATAAAATATATTTAAATTAAATAATTATTATATTATTATTAATAATTTTTATTAATAATTATTATTAATAATTATTATTATTGCAGTTGTTATAAAAACCCAAAAATTCGAATAGAAACAAAAAAACAAAATTTTTAATTTAAAAAATAATGTTATACTCTCTTTATGATATATATTATATATATACAAAAAAATGCAAACAACAATTATAGCTAAAATAAAAATTATATTAATAATTATAGACAAACAAAAATTAATAATATAAACAAATATGTATAATGTATACTACATATATTTCGAATGCCTAATGTTCAATGTATTTACAACTACTATACTTCCATAAATTTGAATTTATATAATCTGTATATATGTATGTTTACATACAGATATAAAGATTATATGATTTATCAAAATGCGATATTAAATTTCACCCTTCCATCCCTCATATATACTTTTTTCCCTCTGCCTCCCATTACACCAAATTAAAAAATAAATGAAACGGCAAAATATGTTATATAAATGTTACTTTACATTGTTTGTTATTATATAATACCAAATAATAATTGCAAGAAAAAAATAAAAATAAATTGAAAAAAAGAAAACAATTAAACCAAAATATAATGCGCATACTTATGGTCATGTGTGTACTCAAACACAAACATTCGTACACACATACAAAAAAACAAAAACAACAACAAGCAAAGCATATATAGTTATATATATTTCTGAAATCTAAATAAATTCCAAAAAAAAATGAAATGAAAAAAATTATACGATAATAAATGAGTTTTGATTTGAGGAGGGGCAATAATATGGTGGCCGAAGACTGTAAGGAAAAATGGTAAGTGTGACAAAAACAACTTTAGATTATTTATTCAAGGAATTTTCACAGATATTCTCAATGTAATGCTCAGCTTTTCCAATTTGAAAGACCATGTTCCGAAATGTTGTCTTCCACTTGATCTTTCCATCGAATTCGTGGCCTATCACTTGGCTCGCTTTTATATGCCTTTGAGTGGGAGAATCCTCATCCATTCTCACAACATGACCTAGGCAAAGTAGTCGCTGCAGCTCGATACGTCTGACTATGTCGATATCCGAGAATAGATGATACAACTCATTGTTTATTCGACGTCGACGCAGATCGGCCCATAGATGTTTTGGAGAATTTTTCTATCAAACACTCCGAGAGCTGCCTCATCTGCTTGCGTAAGTACCCATGCTTCAGATCCATGTAATAACACGCGTAGTATCAGCGTCTTGTAGAGTGTGAGTTTGGTCTGGCGGGAGGTGGCCTTGCTTTCGAATTAATTTTGAAGGAATACTGAACATAGACGTGACTTTAAACACCACTGACCGGTCGAATTCAGTTTTATAGTCGACAAATAGGTAGAATGTGTTTATGTGGGCCTTTTCCAGGATTTGGGGCGATGGTAAGGAGACTAATACCTATATAGTTGGGACATATCGTCTTGTCTAAGTTTCCAATCATAGGACATGATTTCCTCTAGCAAAATTGTACTAATCAGTTGATGCATGCTCCTGAGAGGATTTGCCTGCACCAAATCCTTCGGTTTGGTGTTTTACTCTTCAGGTAAAATTTCCGAACTTGGTTCTGACTCCTGTAAATCTCGATTTGCTCGTGTTTTTCTTGTTATTTCTTCTTTTTCTGAAAAAAAAAACGTTTCTCCTCTCTCCTTTTTCCCGATAATTCTCCATCGCATTACGTGCAGCATTACGACACTCCTGATCGTACCTCGGGTTTCTTGATGGTGGTGTTTGGAACCCAAATGTTACTTTTGCTGCAGTTTGTAGGGAATGGGCAATTCTTTGCCATTGTGATTCTATATTATTATCAGGACAAGGAGTGCTTTCGTCAAGCCGGTGGGAAAGTTGAGCTATCTGTTGCGTTTTCAGCTTTTCGACGTCTAACTTCCGTGTTGTGTTAGATTAAGGCGTGTGCGAACCATGACTGCTATATGGTAGTGGTCCGTATAAATATACGTTCCTCGGATCGATCGAACGTCTAAAACACTGGATGAATGCCTTCCGTCTATCACAACATGATCAATTTGATTTCTCGTTCTTTGATCTGGAGAAATCCAGGTGACCTTGTGTATATCGACGTGCTTGAATCTGGTGCTGCTAACTATCATGCCTTGAAAATATTTTTATAAAAAAATCCACGCCTCTCGGAATTGCCTTGAAAATATTTTTATATAAAAATCCACGCCTCTCGGAATTGCCTTGAAAATATTTTTATATAAAAATCCACGCCTCTCGGAATTGCCTTGAAAATATTTTTATATAAAAATCCACGCCTCTCGGAATTGCCTTGAAAATATTTTTATATAAAAATCCACGCCTCTCGGAATTGCCTTGAAAATATTTTTATATAAAAATCCACGCCTCTTTGATCGGTTGGAAAATAGTTTTATTTAAAAATACGATTTGTTTGCTGTGTATTACTTCCACACTGTATAAGAGATAGTGTATCACCATTAACTCTCTATTTCTAACTATTGCTTCCCAATATCATCACATGTTTTTGTTATGAATAGAAAGAAAACAACAAATCCGAAGAAGAGACATTAGAGAATATTTCGCACAACATACGTGAGGCATATGTTAGATCTTTTAATCAGTTTTTAACAAAAAATCCCTAGGAAAGGTTCCCTACCAACGCAGGTAGTTATGGTGAACTAACTGAACGAATTTTCACTAAAAAGGTCAGCCACATTTCTCTATGTCTCAGATTGTGTGATTATATTTTTAAGTGGCCTAGCGACATCGATTCTGGAGGCTGGTTTCAGCCGCACAGTGATAAGACATACACATTCAAATATACACAGACACTAAACATATTGATAAGAAATTCAAGATTTCAATTTACTACTGAAGATCGGCGCAATTATCTGTTTTGAAAAATCAGTCAGCTTTCGACTCTCACCGACAACGGTCTTGGGGACTTGGTGTCTAGTTTAAGATTTTAGATTATTTTTTTATTCTTCCTTCGGGATAAGTGAATTTTTAAGTACAGTTTAGTGATTGTGTGTGTTGGTGTGTGACAAATACAAGTGATCATGTATCGTCTATCGATTAAATGTACCCGCAATGCCCTCTCATCGGTGACTTTGACCAAATTCAGTGTTAGATGTTTGGCCACCACCACCTCCGTGGATGGTGTTTTATTCCCCACCAAATCGGATTTTCCCAGCCGTCATATTGGTCCCCGGAAAACTGATGTTGTTTCGATGTTAGATACATTGGGTTATAAGGTAAGAAGTTACTGAAAGAGATTCGGAGAAAAAAATAGGAACTGAAAACTGTGATCATTTCTTACAGTCCCTGGGTGAATTGACCGAGAAAGCTGTACCCAAGAGCATTCAATTACATCGTGATTTGAATTTGGATAAGCCACTAAGTAAGTATTTTTTGGAATTCAATATTATTAATTGAAAAGTCGATACGAATATGTTATACCTCTCATAAAAAGGAACTTCGTAAATATGTCATACCTCTTGCTCTAAGAAGTTTCGGGCTTTGAATATAAATGTGTCTATAGACAAGCCAATGAAAATCTACAGTTTCCTTGGATTTTTTATGGATACTCATTGGACGCTAGAAAATTTTTTTAGAAAATCCTAACCTGTTGATCTTCAAGAAATCCTGTCAATACTGCTTGAAGGCTATAGATTTGTATATACATCTGCAAAAATATAAAAAAGTAGAGGCTAGAATCACAAAATATTTTAAAAAAAATATAGACTTGTAGGTAGGACATTAAAAAATCCTGGCTTGTGGGTATATAATTAAATAAATGCTGGCTTATGTGTATATCATTAAAAAATAATTTAAAAAAATCCTGGCTTGTGGGTATATCATTAAAAAATATTTTAAAAATCCTGGCTTGTGGGTATATCATTAAAAAAATATTTAAAACCAGTAAGGAAAGTAGTAAAGTTGGACGGGGCCGACTATATGACTCCCTTCACCACTTTGGGTATATTCAACAGATGAATCCTAACAGACATCGCATTTTGAAAGGACCAGTAAAATGAAATTGGATCCATAAACATGTCATTCTGCAACCGATACTAAATTTTTCATTTGGTCAGATATAGAAGCTATTTTTAGGAAACTTAACACAAATGATTATAGGCCTAATTCATTACGCTGTGCCAAATTCCGTGCAAATTGAAAGATAATAAGGACCTGCACCATTTACATTAAATCGTACGAATATATATATGGGAGCTAAATCTAAATCTGAACCGATTTTCAGGAAACTTAACACACATCATTGTAGACCTAATTCATTACGCTGTGCCAAATTCCGTTCAAATTGAAAGATAATAAGGACCTGCACCATTTACATTAAATCGGACGAAAATATATATGGGAGCTATATCTAAATCTGAACCGACTTTTCCCAATTTCAATAGGGTTCGTCCTTGGGCCATATAAGAGACCTCTGCCAAATTTCATCCAAATCGGAATATAAATGCGACCTGTACTTTGTTCACAAAAATACATGGACGGACGGACATGCGTAAATCGACTCAGAACGTGATTATATGCATAGGAACCATGTGTCTATCTCGTTTCATTTTGTCTGTTACAAACATATGCACAAAGACAAAATACCCTGTACCACAGTGTGATGAAGGGTATAAAAATGTCCGAGTACATACGACAATATAATTGGTATCAATTTAAAGGTCAACAACTTCTCTTGCAGGGACGTACGCAGAATTGAATTGTTTTCACAGTAAATTTATGTTTGCAACAGCTAATTTGTACTACCGGGCCCCCCGAAATGAAATCCTGTATACGTTGCGGTTCTCTTGGATATACTATCAACTACTCGGGTCAATGTCCTTCAGGCGTAAATCTGTACGATATAGAATACAAATTTTGCCATTTTTCACACAAAAGTCAAGGTTCATTTGACCCGCTAAATATTGACCGATCTTTAGCAGAACAGGCATGCTTATTCTTTGGCCCGACCCCCTCCATGTAAATATTCGCGATGTTTGGGCCATAATTGTGGCCTCTGGAGCAACCAGAAAACCCGACAAAAATTAAGTATTTGGCCATTTCATCCCCTAAATATTAACCAATCTTTACCAAAACAATAGGGGTCTTCATTGGGCAGAACCCATCCTACATGCAAAATTTCGTGAAGATTGATCCAAAACTGTGGCCTGTATCGCGTTTACAAATTATAATGAACAGGCGGACGGACACACATGTCTAGATCTACTCAGCTAGTCGAGATATGACGATCGGTATACTTAAAAGTGGGTCTAGGACCAATATTTCGAGGCGTTACAAATTCTTGGGCCTGCACAAAGTTATAATACCCTGACAATATAGTTGTGCAGGGTATAAAAATCTATACTCCTTAAAAAAATAATCTTAAAAAATCCAAACCTAAGAATACTCCTTGAAAAAATATATGTAAAAAATTCAGGCCAAAGGATACATCTTGAAAAAATATATAGGGTACCTTATATGGGGCCTATACATAAAATAGATCAATAATCATAATTTTTGGTGGGAATATTCGCTACCCAATGAGAATCGAAATTACTTGACAATGTTAAGGCCACCCGCCGAATTTGGTGCCGATATTGCTGTGTGTACATCTCAACGTTTGGGTGTACCATTGGATTATGGTGGTCCTCATGCTGGCTTCTTTGCCTGCAAGCAATATTTGGTCCGGCTTATGCCTGGCCGTATGATTGGTGTTACCCGTGATATGGATGATAATGATGCCTACCTTTATAGGGTACCTTCATATGGAGCCTATACAAAAAAATAAATAAATATTCTTAATTTTTGGTGGGAATATTGAATATTGATCTATTCCCTTACTGCAAGAATGTACTGGATTTTACTATTTTCTTCGATATGATAAAGGAAAATTCGTTATCGTTGTAAAAAGTAGTAGATTCTTGCAGTACGGGAACAGGCCATTTGTTGTTGGAAGATTTTTTAACCAATGAGAAACCAAAATATCTAATTATAGTCAATTTTTGGAAAAAAGTGCTTCCCTGTGGTAGTCTTCCCTGAAAGGTGTTCCAATATCAATAATTTTTGGTAGGGAAGATTGGTCCAAAACTGTGGCCTGTATCGTTTTTACAAATTATAATAAACAGACTGACGGACACACATGTCTAGATTATCTACCCAATGATTACAGCCAAAATAATTGAAACACGTGGTAAAGTTCTTAAATGGATGTCGTGATTTATCCGCCACATGACAATATGAAATTTTGCATCAGCCCATAAATTTAGTCTGATGAACCGAACTGAAAATATTCCATAACAACACGATTTCACTTCTCATGAATAACATGCTTGTTATTGTCAATGCGATGAGTCTTGAAAGTCATAAAAATTTTGATAATAAAAATAATGCATAATTATTTATTTTCAAGACCCCCTAGTGAGCTGAGTCTGTCGTCAGTGCCAACCATGGCCTGATAACAACAACCAACTGATAATCCGAGTAAAGTTCAAAAAATATTGAACTCCTAGACAAAATATTTTTCATCTCAATACACAGGCACGAGATTACGTTAGCGACTCGTGTTTTTAATTTATTATTTTGAAATTATTTATTTCAATTTATTTATTTTGATTCCGTAAGAAGATTTTCTAATCCCTTCTTATTTCCCCCCTCTTTTTCAGATGAACACGAATTGATTGTTCGCATTCGCAACATTGCCAAAAAGAATCAAATATGGCGTTCGTATATCGGCATGGGTTATCACAATTGTCATGTGCCCCACACAATTCTTCGCAATATCTTTGAAAATCCCGGCTGGACCACTCAATATACACCATATCAGCCGGAAATAGCACAGGGTCGTCTGGAATCCCTATTAAATTATCAGACTTTGGTTTCTGAGATGACCGGTCTAGATGTGGCAAATGCTTCGTTGCTGGATGAGGGCACGGCTGCCGCTGAGGCAATGTGTCTGTGTACCCGGTAAGCGTGTGTGTGTGAGGATGAGATAAGAAATTTTAGGCGCGGGGGGTCAGACATGTCAGTAATGTTTTGGCGGGGGAAGATTGTGATTAGGGGGATTGGAATTTTTCCGCAAATCTATTTTTATGTTGATGATTTCTTTATATAAACAACAACAAGTCGGTCTTCGATTTATTTTTTGAAGAAGTAGATTAGATTTTAAGGAATTATCTCAGGCGTAGATTTTTTAAGGAGCTACCTCAGGCGTAGAATTTTTAAGGAGTGACCTCAGGCGTAGATTTTTTAAAAGTATTTTTATTTTTAATATTTTTTTAAGGGACTACCACAGGACTGAATTTTTTAAAAATATTTTTAGGGACTACCACAAGGCATGATTTGTTTTTTAAATAATTCCATACCTCTCCTCCTCTCCTCTCTTGTTTTATTATGATTCTCCTAATTTTCTTTTTCCTCTCTTTTTTGTCCAGTCACAACAAACGCAAGAAGATCTTCTTGTCGGATAAAACCCATCCCCAAACCTTGTCGGTTGTTAAGACCAGAGCCGAAGCTTTGGAGTTGGAAGTTGAAATCGGCTCGATTGAAAATGCTGACTTGGCTAGTCGTGAAATTTCGGGTATCCTCCTGCAATATCCCGACACCTTTGGTGATGTTATTGATTTTGAAAGCGTGGCCGAGACGGCCAGGAAGAATGGAGTAAGTTTTTTTCAGGAAATATTTTAACCATTCCCCAACTAATTTATTTTTCTATTTCGCCTCCCATAGACTTTGGTAGTGGTGGCCACTGATCTTTTGGCCTTGACAATGTTGAGACCACCCGCAGAATTTGGTGCCGATATTGCTGTGGGTACATCTCAACGTTTGGGTGTACCCTTGGGTTATGGTGGTCCTCATGCTGGCTTCTTTGCCTGTAAGCAAAATTTGGTTCGCCTTATGCCTGGCCGTATGATTGGTGTTACCCGTGATATGGATGGTAATGATGCCTATCGTTTGGCTTTGCAGACACGTGAACAGCACATTCGTCGTGACAAGGCCACCAGTAACATCTGTACAGCTCAGGCTTTGTTGGCCAATATGTCGGCAATGTATGCCATTTATCATGGCCCAGAGGGTCTTAAGGCCATAGCCAATCGTATTCACCACTTCACATTGGCTTTGCAGGCTGGTCTCAAGGAGGTTGGTCATGGTGTTAACAATAAACATTTCTTTGATACCCTCCATGTTACCCTGAAGTCCGATATGACCGTTGAGGAACTAAAGGCTCGAGCTGAACAGAAACAAATTAATTTCCGTTACTTCCCCGATGGTACGGTGGGTGTGGCTTTGGATGAAACTGTTGGTCCCAAGGATTTGGATGATTTGTTGTGGGTATTTAAGGGTAAAACTTTGGAACAGGTGTTGGCATCCAATGACATTTTGGGTACCTCAATTGAACACACACCATTTTATCGCACCTCCTCTTACTTGACCCATCCCATTTTCAATGCCTATCACAGTGAATCGCGTATGGTACGCTACATGAAGAAATTGGAAAATAAAGATATCTCCTTGGTCCACTCTATGATTCCATTGGGTTCTTGTACCATGAAGCTGAATGCCACCACTGAAATGATGCCCTGCTCATTCCGCCACTTTACCGATATTCACCCTTTTGCCCCCGTGGAACAGGCTCAAGGTTACCATCAAATGTTTAAGGAGCTGGAAAATGATCTGTGTGAAATTACCGGTTATGATAGAATCTCCTTCCAACCGAACTCGGGTGCTCAAGGAGAATATGCCGGTTTGAGAGCCATTCGCTCATATCACGAACAACGTAATGAGGGCCATCGTAATATCTGCCTCATTCCCATTTCGGCTCATGGTACCAATCCTGCCTCGGCACAAATGGCTGGCATGAAAGTTGAACCCATTCGTATTTTGTCGGATGGCAGCATCGATATGGCCCATTTGAAAGACAAGGCTGCTGAGCATGCCAATAATTTGTCATGCTTGATGATCACCTATCCCTCGACCATGGGTGTTTTTGAGCAGACCGTTGCCGATATCTGCACCCTCATCCATAAATATGGTGGCCAAGTGTATTTGGATGGTGCCAATATGAATGCCCAGGTGGGTCTGTGCCGTCCCGGTGACTACGGCAGTGATGTGTCACATTTAAATCTTCATAAGACATTCTGTATTCCTCATGGTGGTGGCGGTCCTGGTATGGGTCCCATTGGTGTCAAGGCCCATTTGGCTCCCTTCCTACCCGGCCATCCAGTCATTAGCCCATCCGGTAATGAAGAAACCAGTTTTGGTGTTGTTTCCGCCGCTCCCTTCGGCAGCTCAGCCATTTTACCCATTTCCTGGTCATACATCAAACTTATGGGTAGCCGTGGTTTGAAACGTGCCACCCAAGTTGCCATTCTCAATGCCAATTATATGTCCAAACGTTTGGAACAGCACTACAAGACCCTCTACAAAGATCCACAAAGTGGTCTAGTGGCTCATGAATTTATTTTAGATATTAGAGATTTGAAGAAAACGGCCAACATTGAGGCAGTCGACATTGCCAAACGTCTTATGGATTATGGTTTCCATGCACCGACAATGTCATGGCCCGTGGCGGGTACATTGATGATTGAACCCACCGAATCGGAAGATAAGGAGGAGTTGGATCGTTTCTGCAATGCCCTCATATCGATTCGTGAAGAAATTGCACAAATTGAAAATGGTACAATGGATAAACATGTAAACCCACTGAAAATGGCACCACATACACAATCGCAGGTTATTTCGGATAATTGGAATAGACCATATAGTCGGGAAATGGCCGCTTTTCCAGCAGTAAGTGGACAAATTTTTAATATATATATATATTTTTTTTGTTAATTGAAATTAATTTAAAATTGTTTCTCTCTTTTTTATAGATCTTCATCAAACCCGAATCCAAGATCTGGCCCACAGTTGGTCGCATTGATGATGCCTATGGCGATAAACATCTTGTCTGTACCTGCCCACCCATCCTACCCGATTTGTAAATTAATTGTTGCATGTGCCTTTTTTGATTCTTTTTTTATTGATTATGTAGTTTCCTATATTTAAATAAATAAATTTATTTTAAGATTATAAATAATTAAATTAGTTGTTTTATTCAAGGGTCTGAGGTAGAGATTTGAATATATAAAATAAGATTAAATGCATAGATTTATTATAAATATATTTTTACAAGAATCCTCAGACGTGGATTTCTAAAATTTTTTGTTTCGGAAGTAACCAAAGGCATGGAACGATAATATTCTGTGTATCTATATTCCGAGACTGGGAAATTTTTTCGGATATTTGCACCCTCTAGTGTGGTGCCAGCGTGCTTTGTGAACGACTGAAGCCAATGGTTAATGACATTATTGGACCATAACAATGCGGCTTCTGACCTGGCAAATCTACCATTGACCAGATTTTCACTCTGCGCAAATCCTGAAAAAAAACACGAAAAACACATCGACAGCCTAATCCTTTCAGAGGTGTTTAAAGCCATGTCTGCGTTTGGCATTCTTGCAAAATAAATTCGGATATGCAGGATAACTATAACCGGCACAAGTTCAGCAGTTGAAGTCGGAAAGGACCTCTCGGAGCCTTTTAATACCGAATGAGGATTCAAACAAGGTGATAGTTTGTAGTGTGACCTTTTTAACATCCTGCTGGAAAAGGTCATACGAGAGGCAAAAGTTTACAGTAATGGCACTCTGTACAACAAACAACACATGTTACTCGCCTACGCCGATGACATCGACATAATGGGTCGAACATTGAGAGCGGTAACAGCGACCTTTGAACAAATTGAGGAGTCTGCAAAAGTGGGTCTGCAGTAAACGGCGAGAAGACCAAGCTGATGGTATCAACGCGGCAGACGTCCAGTAGACTCGGACCCCCTGTGGAACTGGAGAACTACAGCTTCGAGGTAGTCAAAGATTTTACCGCCACAAATAAAATTAATGACATCAGTTTTGATATTCGGAGAAGGATAGTGTTGGACAACAGATGCCCGTATGGTCTGAGTATGCAAAGTAAGGCCACCTCCCGCCAGACCAAACTCACACTGTACAAGACGCTGATACTACCCGTGCTATTATATGGACCTAATTAATGGATACTTACGCAAGCAGATGAGGCAGTTCTTGGAGTGTTTGAAAGAAAAATTCTCTGAAAGATTTATGGGCCGATCTGCGTTGGCTGTGAATATCGCGGTCGAATGAACCATGAGCTGTACCAGCGGACCTCGGCATTGTTAGACGTATTGAGCTGCAGCGACTACATTGGCTAGGTCATGTTGCGAAAATGGATGAAGATGCCCCAGCCCAAAAGACATATAAAAGGGAAGGGATGGAAAGATCAAGTGGAAGACAACATTGCCGAATATAATCTTTCAAACTGGAAAAACTGCGTAAAAAACCGACGCGCCTGAAAATCTTTTTTAAGTTCGGCTTATGGATATGTCACAAGCCAGCTAAGTAAGTAAGTATGGTAATATTAATACTAAAATAGATAAGCAGCTAAGCGGGTATCTTTTCAAGATCATATTTTTCCGGACTGATTAATTTGACCCATTATAACCCATTCTATTAGAAAAATAGAAAAAATAAAGTTTTAGGTCAATTTTATCCCCTAAATATTATCTGATCGTCCTTGACCATAGCCGGTACTTCATATAAAATTCAATTCGATTTATGATCAATACCGTCAATCCCAATGTGTAAGAATAACTCCCACATCCGATTACATTCATCAATATAATTGGTGGTATAAATTTGAAAGCCAACCACACCTCTTGTACTATCTATCAACTATCTCCGTTCTATATACTCCTGGGGTAACGTCATAGAACGCAAAATATGTCGTATTTCACACAGAAGTCTTGGTCCATTTTACCCACTAAATATTGATCGATCATCATCAATATATGTGTACAATTTCGTGTCGTTCAGATTACAATTGTGGGCTCTACATCGACCAGAAAACAGACAAAAAAAGTTTTTCGTGCATGTTAAATAATAGGGGATTTCAGAGCTCAGAACTGAACCTACATTCAAAATTTCGTGACGATTGGTCCATAACTGTGGCGTGTACAGGGTTAACAAATTATAATGACAGACGGACGGACACATAAGTCTAGATTGACTCAGTTAATCGAGATACTATGTTCGGTATATTAGGAGATCAATATTTCGCGGCTTAACAAACTCTTGAGCCACACAAAGCTATAATACCCATACAATATAGATGTGTAGGGTATAAAAATATTATAATAAATTTTGGAATTAATTAATTGTCGTAACCACGACAATACTTTTAATTTGCCATCGCCCAAATCCTTTCAGTCATGAATTATCCACATTGCATCCCATTTTCAAAATCATAATGATTAATAAGTTACTGCAATTATAGATTCATCAAGTTAAATTTGACACCCTTAGATTCTCCAAGGCTCTTTATCTTCTTAACAGGTCCTTTTAAACTTAACTGATCCTCAAAAAATTATATTTTATTAAAATATTTTCTTTACAAGCAACAATGCCGCGTAATTAGGTCACTACGGTCATAGTCATAGTCATACTGTGTAAAAACGGCCGAAACACTTTGCATGCTCTCAGAGACACAAAACCTATACTCTCAATTGAGAGGGAATATAAAGGTAATTAACGAAAAATAAATAAAATGTGAAATAATTCCCACATTACTTAACTATATTTATTAAATTATTTACATTTTAATACATAAATAATAAATAACACACACTTATCTGCGTTTTTACAAAACCTCAAAGTAGGCAACATTTTGCCGGCAAAACAAACCAGGGATCTAAAAGCGACTACCCTAGCCCTGGAAAATAACAATGCTGTTTGATTTGTGAACAACGAGTAGAGTTGGGCAATCTAGTTCACGTAGCGGATCGATCATTCTCGTTTCTTTTTTAAAAAGGAACTAGTTCCTTAATGTAGTTCCTTTGAACTATGTAATTACTTCATAATTAAGAGTCGAACCACGAATGAGAGAGGGAACAACGCTCGTCTGTACATGGCATTAGACTTTTCAATACAAAAAGTCGATTAATCGAAAGTCGATAATCATATCCCTAATCATAATTTGCCTAAACCTCATTCGTAAACAACACGGTTTCCATTTCCATTTAGTCTCTATCCCACATCATTCGTAAACTTTCGGTTATACCATTTTGAGTTCATCTTTATCGGCCATTTTGTCTTCTCCTCCCATTCGTTAGCAGGTGGAACGTTTTTCAATTTTTTCAGTCGTCGTTTTTATTTTAGCTCCGTTCCAAAACCTAAAAGAATCTACTAATTTTACAAGTTTTGCAACTTTTTACTCGAAAACCGTTCCTGAACCCATAAAACTGGTAAAGCATTGAATCAAATTTAAGAGAGCACAAAACAAAATGGCTTTCTCTTTGTAAACTTTTTGTTATGTTGATTTTGAAGTATTGCCATCTAATTTTGGCATATTTACTAGATTTGCGTTCCCGAACTTTTCAAATTATTTTGTACTCTGAGACTTGAAATGTTTCCCTTTTACTAGCATTACTATTACACAAGTGAAAAAGCGTTAAGTTCGGCCGGGCCGAACTTTGGATACCCTCCACCACAGGTATACTGACAGGTATTTGAAATGAAAAAGTGGACCGATATTTATAATTTTAAATAGAGATATTTGGTACCCAATATGAACCCACTGTTCAGCGAATTCGGTTGAAAATCGCGCTTAAGAACCTCAAAATACCGAAAATTTGGGGTGCCCTTATATGGGGGCTACCAGAAAAAGTGGGCCGATATTTATAATTTTTAGTAGAGATATTTGGTACGCAATATGAACCCAATGTACAAAATTGCAGCGAATTCGGTTGAAAAGCGCGCTCAAGAACCCCAAAATACCGAAATTGGGGGGTACCCTTTTATGGGGGATATCCGAAAAAATTGACCTATATTTAAATTTTTTTGTGGAGAGATTTGGTACCTGCTAAGAACTCAAAATACTAAATTACAGCCAATTCGGTGAAAAATACGATAAAAACCCAAAAAATACTGAAAATTAGGAGGTACCGTTATATGGGGGCTACAAGAAAAAGTGGACCTATATTTATAATTTTTTGTGGATACATTTACTACAAATTCGCTTGAAAAACGCGCTCAAGAACCCCAAAATACCGAAAATTGGGGGGTACCCTTATATGGGAGCTATGCCTAAACGTGGACCGATATATCCCATCTTCGAACTTGACCTGCCTGCAGACAAAAGACAACCCTATGCAAAATTTCAGCACCCTATCTCAATTCCTTCAGAAGATTGCGTGATTACAACAGACGGACGGACATGGCTAGATCGTCTTAGAATTTTACCCTGATCAAGAATATATATACTTTATAGGGTCGGAAATGAATATTTCGATGAGTTACAAACGAAATGACAAAATTAATATACCCTCCATACTATGGTGGAGGGTATAAAAAGTACTGGAACAGACAATTTGTTGGCGAAGGTTTGCGTACGACGTCGCTTGAGTCTTGGCAGAACGACGATTAACAAGCGAATTTTATGAAGGCTGGAGTCTTGGAGGCTTCCCACTGTTCTTTTGAATCTCTCTCTCTCTCTTTTATTATTTTTTTTTTTCGTTTTTCCATATATAGTTCCTTTGCTCCATATAGTTTCTTTGCTCTTTATAGTTCCTATGCTCCAAATAGTTCCTTTGTTCCATATAGTTCCTTTGCTCTTTATAGTTCCTTTGCTCCATACAGTTCCTTTGCTTCAAATAGTTCAAAAAAGGAACTGGATCAGAGAAAGGAACTAGTTCCGTTCGTTCCTTTCTCGGAATAGTTCCAATGAACTAGAAACGTGCGATTCCGTCTCAGTTGCCTTAGAAATAAACAACAAACAAACGTTTTCCGGGACAACGACGGAAATTCTAGAAGAAAAAAGTTATTAAAAATAACACACTTGAATCGAAACCCTTTGCGCCAGTGCCATCATTGTTGAATCATGAAAATCGAAGAAGTTAAAAGCACCGTCCGTACACAACGCATTTCGGCCCATAGCCATATCAAAGGTTTGGGCCTAAATGCCGAGGGTGTCCCACTGCCCATGTCTGCCGGTTTGGTGGGGCAAAAGGCTGCACGTGAAGCTGCCGGTATTGTGGTGGATTTAATTAAAACCAAGAAAATGGCTGGACGTGCCTTACTACTGGCAGGACCACCTGGTACCGGTAAAACTGCAATTGCATTGGCTATTGCTCAGGAGTTGGGTAACAAGGTGCCCTTCTGTCCAATGGTTGGCTCGGAGGTATTCAGCAGTGAAATCAAGAAAACCGAAGTTTTGATGGAAAATTTTAGACGTTCGATTGGTTTGAGAATCCGCGAAACCAAAGAGGTATATGAGGGTGAAGTTACCGAGTTGACACCAGTGGAAACAGAGAATCCCATGGGAGGTTATGGCAAAACTATCAGCAATGTTGTTATCGGCTTGAAAACCGCCAAGGGTACAAAACAATTGAAATTGGATCCCAGTATCTTTGAGGCATTGCAAAAGGAAAAGGTTGAGGTTGGTGATGTCATTTACATCGAGGCCAACAGTGGTGCGGTAAAACGTCAGGGACGTAGTGATACCTTTGCCACAGAATTTGATTTGGAAACGGAAGAATATGTCCCCTTGCCCAAGGGTGATGTCCATAAGAAAAAAGAAGTCATACAAGATGTTACCCTACATGATTTAGATGTGGCAAATGCTCGCCCACAGGGTGGCCAAGATGTTTTGTCGATGATGGGTCAATTGATGAAACCCAAAAAGACTGAAATCACAGATAAATTACGTATGGAAATCAATAAGGTGGTCAATAAATATATTGATCAGGGTATTGCTGAATTGGTACCAGGTGTACTGTTCATTGATGAGATTCATATGTTGGATTTGGAAACATTTACTTATTTGCATAAGTCATTGGAGTCGCCAATTGCACCAATTGTCATCTTTGCCACTAATCGCGGTCGTTGTGTTATACGGTAAGTAAACATTTAAATTTTTTAGGAATTATATTGCTTATCTTGTTTCTTTATTTTCTTTTTTATAGCGGCACCAATGACATTGTCTCACCACATGGCATACCCTTGGATTTGCTCGATCGTTTGCTAATCATACGCACCTTACCATACAGTTCCAGTGAAATGGAACAAATCATTAAATTACGTGCCCAAACCGAGGGTCTACAACTGGAAGAGCCAGCCTTTACTCGTCTCAGTGAAATTGGTAGCAAATCAACATTACGTTATGCTGTGCAGCTGTTAACCCCAGCCCATCAAATGGCCAAAGTTAATGGTCGTACACAAATCACCAAGGAAGATATTGATGATGTTCACGCTTTGTTCTTGGATGCTAAACGTTCATCGAAACATCTCTCAGAGAAAAATAATAAATTTATGATGTAAAACTAGAATTGACATAAAACCTCAATGACATAATTTTACTATGTTCTTTATTAATATATAATAAAAATAATTAGATTTAGAAATAAGAATGTGAAGATTTTTGTTATGTGGGAATCATGGGTGGGAGGTGAAAGAAAAATCAAGAAGGTTACATAGGAAATTTATGTAAATGTCTAGGCTATAGAAGGAAAAGAAGTTGTTATTTCAAAGCATTCACTGCACCGGACTATTACATATGTATTGGGCAACAAGGAAACTTGACACGTTCTATTGTTTTCAGAATGCATACAACTTAAGAAGTATACCAAGTTAAAGTGGCCGAATTAACACCAGTCATTACCGCCCTATGGGCGGTTATGACAAAAATATAAGTAATGAAATCGGCTTGGGAAGGGAAAAAATAATTGAAATATTTTAGATTATAAAAGGAAAGTTTTTTTTCAAAATCATTTTTGTACCCTTCGCAAGGATATTACAGTTTTGTGTGGCCCTAAGAGTTTGTAACGCTCCTAAATATTTTTGTATACCAAACATCATATATCGACTAGCTGAGTCGATCTAGACATGTGTGTCCATCTATCCGGCATAATTTGAAAATGCTACAGGTTATAGTTATGGACCAAACGTTGTCTTTAGCTCCGGTTCTGATCAAAGGAGATCAAATGAACCAAAAACTTTATTCGTATCTGTTTTTCTGGTCGCTCTAGATGCCAAAATTATCTCCCGAACGAACACCACGCAATTTTACATGGGTAAGGGAATGAAGACAAAGAATAAGTCGGATTGCTTAGATGAAGTTCGGTCAATGTTGCGGGCCCTCATAACTGCCTAAGTCCGTCCCTTCACGCAAAAAAAAATTGCGTGAAAGGGACGGACTTAGGACAACCCAGGACAATGAAATTGGGATAGCAGGGTTGGGAGTACACCCTAGGGAAAAGATCGACTATGTTAGTCGGAGTCAGAATGTCTCTATACGTTCCAAAGACAGAGGCACACGTAACATCAAATTCTAGCGGTTAAAATTGACCCAGACTTTTATTTGAAAATGACAACATTTGTATTCCATGGCGTATATTTATACTCCGGAAGGACCTAAACCGGAGAAGTTGTTGTATATCCTCGAATGATCGAGGTATACGTAAATATGTACAGTGTATATGTATCTGATAATATTCTGAAAAGAAGCGCTAATGGATGGAAAATTTTGCATTAGGCCTCGGTTATGATCAAGGTCGATAAGGATCTGATGATATTCTAAAATGAAATGGACCGAAAAATGTATTTTTGTCTCTGTTTCTAATCGCTCTAGAGACCACTATTATAAGCCAAACATCGCGACAGTTACACTGGGAGGGTGGCCGGACCAACTTTTCGATAGTCAATATATAGCTGGTCAAATTGTGCCAAGACTGTTATGGGTAATATAATAATTCGGAAAAAATGTCAGGGTAAGGGAAAGGAGCCGTTGACCCCTTATCAGTCAAGCGGGTGCCAATATCACGAAATATTTCCCATATTACCCAATGGTACTTGTGTGGGGTATCATATAGTCGGCCTCGTCTTTCTATACTGCTATGCTGTGTTATTTTATTCAAATATCATTTTGATCAAATTTTCCTAACCGGCGATTTCAAGATAGAAAATTATAATATCGCGATCTTCTGCTGTCAAGCACTATTCATCAATATGAGCCACAGTCTATTGATATACCGATCCACAAGTCTGTTAGAACACACCTAACTGCTACAAGTGCCGAGTGTTTATGGTGTAAGGTAAATTCGGGCGGAAAATGCGTCTAAAATATTGAAATATTGCAATATCTGGTTGGGCGTTATCGTCGGAAACCCTGAGGCACGTCAGAAGAGATCTTCATGACCTAGAAAAAGAGGTCGTAAATTACAACCGTGAATATTGTCACCCCCGTCAAGTCCTAATGGACATGGAGACATGTATTTCAGGATCAATTAAATTGTGGACTCTGGAAGACACGCGCATACATTGTTACTACTCCAAAAGATTTTTGAAATTGAAAATGGGATATATCGGTCCTTATCTCGGTATAGACCCGGTCTCAAAGTATTCGGTATTTTGACACATTTTTAAACTGAATCGGCTGTAATTTTGCATTTTGTGTCCTAATTGGATTTCGAAATCTTATTCCAAAAATTAGATTCCTATTGGGTGTTAAATTCTCCTACCAAAAATGGTCAATCATAAGGGAGAGGGTTCTAGGAAACCGGATTGGCCCAATACTTCTACGCCAAAAGATGTTTGAAATTGAAAATGGGATATATCGGTCTTCATTTCGGTATAGACCCGGTCTCAAAGTATTCGGTATTTTTACACGTTTTTAAACCGAATCGGCTGTAATTTGCATTTTGTGTCCTAATTAGATTCCGAATTCTTCTTCAAAAAATTAGATTCCTATTGGGTGTCAAATTCTCCTACCAAAAATGGTCAATCCCAAGGCAGAAGGTTCTAGGAAGCCGGATTGGCCCGATACTTCTAGGCCACCGGCTTCCACCCTATTCATATATGAATTTATTCAATTACGTTCAGGTTGGTGTAGTCGTCTCAGTTCGTATTGGCCACTGATTGATGATCACGTGCAGAATAGCTGAATTTCCTAACTCGGAGACAAGTCCAGAGCCAGACTGAATCGAACAGGAAGAATAATATATGGTATGTTCCCGTACCACAAGAATCTACTACTTTTAACTACGATAAAAAAAACTAGTAGATTCTTGCAGTACGAGAACAGAACAGATTTTGTAAGAAATTCACAATCGCATCGCACGCTTATAAAAATCAAGATCGATTTTAAATACCCGCCTTATGGTGAGGATATATAAAGCTGTCCCCGGCTGAACTTAACTACTTGTTTGCGGATGATTTCCTTTACTCCCGAATAAGCCGGCCCAAAATGAGACGGTGCCATTATAAGTCCCAATTTAGATTAGGCGAGTTTACTTGCAGCAAGTCCTTGAAACCTTTTAAACCTTTCAAGGGGCTGGAGAAGACACTGAGGTTATTGGAGAAGCAGAACGACGGCCTTCAGACGAGGAGGTGGAGAATCCTCGCCTCGTTTGAAAGGAACGGCGGTGTAGTCGCGAAGTTCGCTACTGACTCTGCGGGAGAGGAGTACTTGAGGAAGAACAGGGTGAGCTTGTTTATGGAATGGGGAAACTTTGTTTCCGCCTCACCACTCCAAAACAATAGGCAGGCAGCAGCAAGCGCTTAACGTGATTCAGATTAATCTGCATCACTGTAGAGCAGCAGCTGCTGAACTGCTACTCACCCTTTCTTCCTCAAACATCGACGTGGCGCTCATCCAGGAACCTTACCTGTACAAAGGTAGGTGACTGGACTGGGCGACACCAAATACACGCTTTTGTCTACCTCCAATGGAGAGAAGGTGAGAACGTGTATTCTTGCTAAAAAGGAGTTAAATTTAATGCTTCTTTCTAATTTCAGCAATGAAGATATGACGACAGCAAGACTAGACAGAGGTACCACGAAGCCACTGATAGTCTCTGCCGTCTATCTTCCCTATGAAGGTCCTGACCCACCCGGCACTGTTGTATGCCGCCTATTGGAGGAGATGAGCAGAGTTGGTGATATCATCTTGGGATGTGACGCCAACGCACATCACTTCTATTGGGGAAGCAGCAACACAAACACAAGAGGTGAGTCCATCTTCGAGTTTATACTTAGCTATAATCTTAGAATTTGTAATAGAGGCAATACACCAACTTTTGTTAAAAGGGTGAGAGGTGAAGTCATCGATATAACCCTCACAAATATGGACGACTCTGGGGTCGTAAACTGGGAGGTGTCTGAGAAATGTTCCTTCTCGGATCATAGACTCATATCCCTCCAGATTCCTACCTCTAGAGCTAAACAGAAACCTTATAGGAATCCTCGGAAGACGAACTGGGACAAATTCAAAGCTAAAACAGCAGCCTCTTTTCGGGATCGTAATGATCTCAAAACGGTTGAGGATGTTGAATTAGCTGTGAAAAATGTCACGGCCACTCTTCTGAAGAGCTATGAGGCATCTTGTCCTCTAACATACCCTGGGAAGAAATCTCAGCCGGTATGGTGGTCACAGGACCTTGCAACCTTGCGGAAGGTTGCAAGGAAAGCTTATAATAGAGCTAGTAAGACAAAGCTCAGTACAGATTGGGATGTCTATAAAAGACAATTCAATAGGTACAAGGGCGAAATCAAGAAAGCTAAACGTGAGTCTTGGGTCTGCTATAGCGAGTCGATCGAAGGAGTCAACGAAGCGGCCAGATTCCGCAGAGTACTCTCTAAGGATCCAAAATCCATAGGAAGTATTAAGCGAAGTGATGGAACGTGGACAAACTCTGGTAGTGAGACTCTTGATCTTCTATCATCAACCCACTTTCCTGGTTGTAAGGACTATAGGGAAGATGCGCAGTGTGTGCATCAGCCTACAGTTCGGACGAGGGAAGAGGAGAAGATGATAGAAGACACTATAAGATACCCAAAAATGATATGGGCGATAAATAGTTTTCAACCCTACAAATCTCCTGGTCCAGATGGTATAACACCGGCCATGCTGCAACACGCAGATGAACGGATAATATCACATCTGCAGGATATTTTTAGGGCTTGTTTACTTTTGTCGTACATACCCAGTCTATGGAAAGAGGTTACCGTGACCTTCATCCCGAAAGCCGGGAAGCCGAGTCATACGGTACCTAAAGACTATAGACCGATTAGTCTTTCTTCCTTTCTACTAAAAACTTTAGAAAGGTTACTAGACTCAGAAATTAGAGATACCATTGACCGTAATAAACTTAGTAAATCCCAGCATGCCTATATCAAGGGCAGATCAGTGGATACAGCTCTGCATGAGGTGGTTGGATACATCGAGAAGAATATGGAGTCCTCTGGCTACACGTTGGCAGCATTCCTCGACATCGAAGGAGCTTTCAACAATGTGAAGCTAGAGGCAATCCATTCTGCTCTCGTAGACATA